GAGTTGGTTTTCTGGTTCCTTCTCTTTTGGGTAGATTCTGTCAGAGGGAAGGCCTAGGGCTGAAGGCTGTTGTTCAGATTATTTTGTCCCATGGGGTGTTCCCTTGATGTAGTACTCTCCTCCTTTTCCTAGGGATTTGGCTTCCTGAGAGCCAAGCTGTAGTGATTGTTATTTCTCTTCTGTATCTAGCCACCCAGCACATCTACCAGGCTCCGTGTTGGTACTGGGGATTGTCTGCACAGAGTCCTGTGATGTGAGCTGTCTGTGAGTCTCTCAGTTGTGGATACCAGCACAGTATTTGCGGTGTCTCCCAGGTCCTACAGGAGCAATCTGCTTTCTTCAGAGGGTTTGTGGGTTCTCTCAGCTTTTCTGATTTATTCCTGGAGTCGTTCTGGAGCAAAAGTTCACAATGCAAGACTCTACACACTGCTCTATCTGTCCAAGTGGGAGCTGCAATCTAGTCCTGCCTCCTGCCTGCCATGATCCTCCATGGTGATCCCCCAATTTACTGTCTTTTCATGATCTAGGGCCAAAGCCCAGCAGTTCTTACCATATTGCCTTTTAAGCTACCAAAATTGAGATAATGAGGACACAGAACTATTTTTTCTCTCCAGTAGCAGCTGAAGGAGCAGAAACTCTGTATCAGGTATTTCAATATGAGCGGCCTCACAGCATGATGGTTCCAAAGTAGTAGAACTTCTTACATGGCAGTTGGTTTCCCCAAGATGCATGTGAAAGGCCAATTTGGGAACCACAAGACTTATGACCTAGTTTCAGAAATTTCAGTGTCATTTCCAACTCTCTAAAGCAGACCACAGGCCAACCCAGATTCGGCATGGGAGGAGACTATGCCAGAGAGTTGTAGTGCACTGGAAGGCCAACATTGAGACTAACTACCATGGCCCCTGTAGAAGGAGACTCCTGGAGAAGGAAGAAACTGTGGAGACAAAGATGGGGGAGCTAATTAAAAGATACTGGGCAGAAGTGGGTCTTTCATAAATTATGCAATGTGGTGGTCTATAGACCCACCTATTTCACACCACCTGTCCCCCGTGCCCTATTTTCTCTGCCCCCAGCATGAAACTCATATATTCACCACCAAGAGATCTAGCATTTGTGCACCTTCTGCAAAGGGGACATTTGCAATGAAACTCCCAGGTCGACAGTTCAAAACTCTGCTAATCTCTCCCTCTCTAGTCTGTTACGTAGGCAGGGAGGAGGAAGAGGCACCTAGAATGATGGCTTTGGGTGATTTGGCCAGCTCAGACATTTCTTACTAAACCCTGAAGATCTGTGTAGATCGCCAGCTTTTGGTACTAGACACCTCTGTGCATGGATATGAACTGCATTCACCAATTCCACAGCAAGAGGGAAAGCACTATTTAACATCCTGTTACGCTGGACAAGGACACAGCTGCACACAAGCCTGCATTATAGCTCTGTTTTTGCTACTATTATTTTCTCCAAATTTCATCCTGTAAGGCATGTGACTTAATGAATTTTCTGTGTAAGTTTTTAAAAATGGAAAATGGGGCCAGGTGTGTAATCCCAGAACTTTGGGAGGCTGAGGTAGGGGGATCACTTGAGGCAAGGAGTTAGAGACCAGCCTGGCCAACATGGTGAAACCCCATCTCTACTAAAAATACAAAAAAAAAAAAAAAAAATGGAGGGGGTTCAGGCACGGTACCTCATGTCTGTAATCCTAACATTTTGGGAGGTAAAGGTGTGAGGATTACTTGAGCTCAGGAGTTCAAGACCAGCCTGGGCAATATAGTGAGACCTCATCTCAATTAAGCATTTTTTTAATTTAAAAAAAAATAGGCTAGGCATGGTGGCTCACCCCTGCAATCCTAGCATATTGGAAGGCCAAGGCAGGTGGATTTCCTGAGGTCAAAAGTTCAAGACCAGCTTGGCTAACATGGCAAAACCCCGTCTCTACTAAAAATACAAAAATTAGCCAGGCATGGTGGTGGGCACCTGTAATCCCAGCTACTTGGGAGACTGGGGCAGGAGAATCACTTGAACCCAGGAGGCAGAGGATGCAGTGAGCCGAGATCACCCCATTGCACTCCAGCCTGGGTGACAAGAGTAAAACTCTGTCTCAAAAACAAACAAACAAACAAACAAACAAAAAAAAAAAAATATATATATATATATATATATATATATATATATAAATGTTTGTGGGATTATTAGCAAAGTGGCACAGGTGGGGCAGCTGTAGAGCTTCATCAATATTCCTATTTACAACATATTTTGTACGGGGTGCCTATACAAAAGAGAATTCCACTAATGCACCATTATCATCACAGATCTTGGTGCAGCCCCTAGGCAACGAATTGATACACTCCTCAAAGGTTTATAAGATTAAACCTAAAATTATTTTTGTGGTCTAGCTTTCCATCATGGTACAATGGTAACTAATAAAGTTCTTTTCACCTTTTTTTCTGCAGCTACTATCAATATAGTAATTTTAAAAGTACAAAAACATGTTACAAAAGTGAAAAGGTACAAAAGGTATTTAGTGAAAAGTAAATTTTCCTCCTACTTTTCATATCCAGCGACCGTCTCTACTAAAGATACAAAAAATTAGCTGGGCGTAGTGGTGCATGCCTATAATTCCAGCTACTCAGGAGCCTGAGACAGGAGAATCGCTTGAACCCAGGAGGCAGAGGTTGCTGTCAGCCAAGATCACACCACTGTACTCCAGCCTGGGCGACAGGGCAAGACTCCATCTCAAAACAAAAAAAAGAAAAGAAAATGTAGTACATAACCATCTCATGGAATACTATGTAGCCATAAAAAAGAACAAAATTGGCCATGCACAGTGGCTCACACCTGTAATCCCAGCATTTTGGAAGGCTGAGGTGGGTGGATCACAAGGGCGGGAGTTTGAGACTAGCCTGGCCAATATAGCAAAATCCCATCTCTCCTAAAAGTACAAAAATTAGCCAGGCATGGTGGCAGGCGCCTGTAATCCCAGCTACTCAGGAGGCTGAGGCAGGAGAATCACTAGAATCCAGGAGGCAGAGGTTGCAGTGAGCCAGGATCACACCACTGCACTCCAGCCTGGGCAAAAACAGTGAGACACCATCTCAAAACAAAACAAAACAAACAAAATTATGTCCTTTACCACAACATGGATGCAGCTGGAGGCCACAATCCTAAGCAAATTAACACAGGAACAGAAACCAAATATTGCATATTCTTACTTACAGGTGGGAGATAAGCACTGAGTACACATGGACATAAAGAAGAGAACAGACACTGGGGAGTACTGGAGAGTGGAGGGAAGGAGAGGGGCATGGGTTGAAAACTACCCACTGGGTACTATGCTCACCACCTGGATGAGGGGATCCATACCCCAGACTTCAGTGAAAACTGACACTGGGGAGTACTGGAGAGCAGAGGGAGCGGGGGGGCATGGGTCGGAAAACTACCCACTGGGTGCTATGCTAACTACCTGGGTGAAGGGATCCATACCCCAAACCTCAGTGACATGCAATTTACCCATGTAACAAACCCGAACTTGTACCCCGTGAATCTAAAATAAAAGTTGAAATTACTAAAAACAACAACAAAACTTACCTTTCATTGCATCTTAGAAAGTTTTGGCCTTTCTTACTTTTAGCTATATAACTTTTTGTGTGATTTATGCCTTTACAATTAGTTGTGGTTTTTTTTAATCACTTTTTTACTCTTAAAAAAGTAATGTTTATTGTGGCAATTTAAAAAAGAGAGGTATAAAGAATAAAATCTCTCAATGGATTTCTTAATTTTGCATATTGATTAAAAGAGCTAAAACCTTTAATTTATTAAACATATTCCAGATGGGCTTGGTGGCTAGGGCCTGTAATCCCAGCAATTTGGGGGGCTGAGGTGGAGGGATTGCTTGAGGGAGTTCAAGACCAGCCAGGGCAACATAGTGAAACCCTGTCTCTATGAAAATTAAAAAAAAAAATAAGCTGGGCATGGGAATTCATACCTGTAGTCCCAGCTACTCAGGGGGCTGAGTGGGGAGGATTGTTTGACCCCAAGACTGATTAAAGGTGTTCAGTAAGAGGTGTTCACACCACTTCACCCCAGTCTAGGTGACAGAACAAGACCCTGTCTCACAAAATAATAATAATAAATGTAAAATAGTCCAAAATAGACACATTGGTGGGCAAAAAATGAGCCATTAATATTTATTCATCTTTGAATGATTTTGTAGGACCTTTTAATATTCTCTATTAGGTTTCTATTGCTGCATAACAAGTTATCACAAACTTAGCAGCTTCAAACAACACGTTTCTTATCTAGCAGTTCCCATGGGTCACAGGTCCAGGCACAACCTAACTGGGTCCTCTAATCATGGACTCACAGGCTGAAGCTAATATGTTGACCATGCTGTATGTTCATCTGGAGATTTAACTGGGAAAGAATCTCTTTCCATGCTCATTCAGGTTGTTGGCAGAATTCATTCCCTTGCAGTTGCAGGACTCAGGTCACCAGTGTTTAGTGTTTTGCAGTTGTCTGATGGAGGCTACCCATAGATCCCCGAAGCTGCCTATACTTTGCTGCTATGTGGCTCTCTCCGGGGCAATTCACGTGGCTGCTTCCTCAAGGCTGAAAGGACAGTCAAGCTCCATTCTGCTAAGTAGGAGTCTTATATAACATAGTGTAATCAAAGGAGTGTTGACATTGCATCATCTTTGCTATCTCTATTGTATTGGTGGGATGTGAATGACAGGTTCTATCTACACTCAAGGAGAAGGGCACCAGGAGGCAGAGATCACTGAGGGTCTCCTTAGGGTCTGCCCACCACATATTCTCTATGCAATTCTGATTTCTCCTTGAAATAAAAATAATAGAAAAAAATGACAAAGAGCTTTATGAGCATTTTATACTGACCTATAAAGGTCAACTGTGCTGCTTTAGGTCTGTTGCTTCAAGTACAGGTTTGATCAGGATTTTAAAAAATAAGCATAACTTCTTGTATAAGCTAAATATAAAAAATAAACATCTTGTATAAGCTAAACACTTCTTGTGCTAAAACTGCAGAAACTAGGACCATATCTTGGTTTCTGTAATGATGCTAGCAGAGTACATACAAGAATAAACATAACAGCATTAGATTGTAAAGACTGGGGTGAGGTCAGGCACAGTGGGTCACACCTATAATCCCAGCACTTTGGGAGGCCAAGGAAGGAGGATTGCTAGAGCCCAGGAGTTCAAGACCAGCCCAGACAACACAGAGAGATCCAGTCTCTACAAAAAAGAAAAAAACTGGGGAGGGAAAGAAAGAAAGAGAGAGGAAAAGAAAAGAAAAATAGATGATACCAAAGTGACACTAGTCATGAGCTCCTGTGAGGAAAGTTATTGGCTTTATCCTCTAGACTGCTGGGGTGGATATAAGATGGGTCTGGCTGGGCGTAGTGGCTCATGCCTGTAATCCCAGCATTTTGGGAGGTTGAAGTGGGTGCATCATTTGAGGTCACGCGTTGAAGACCAGCCCGGCCAACATAGTGAAATTCATCTCTACTAAAAATACAAAAAGAAGGCGTGGCAGGGGTTGTCACCTGAAGTCGGGATTTCTAGACCAGCCTGGCCAACATAGGGGAACCCTGTTTCTACTAAAAATACTAAAAAATTAGCTGGGCATGGTGGCAGGCACCTGTAATTCCAGCTACTCAGGAGATTGAGGCAGGAGAATTGCTTGAACCCAGGAGACAAAGGTTGGAGTGGGCCAAGATTGTGTTACTGCACTCTAGCCTGGGCGACAGAGTGAGGCTCTGTCTCAAAAAGTAAAAATTAAATTAAATTAAATTAAAGATGGGATCTGAGAAATCTTTCTTTCTTAGAAATTTATTTCCTAGTTCTGTAAAAATGATAGTATTAGGTGTTCTCTATCATTTAATAATATACCTGTGGGCTAAAAGATGTAAGTGCTGTATAAAATCAGCCAATTATGTTAAACTAGCATATCTGTCTTTATTGTGATTGTCATTAGCCTGAATAGAAAGGCCTTTAAAATTGATTATATATATATATATATATATTTGAGACGAGTCTCACTCTGTCACCCAGGCTGGAGCGCAGTGGTGTGAACACCCCTTACTGCAGTCTTGAACTCCTGGGCTCAAGCAATCCTCCCACCTTAGCCTCCCAAGTAGCTGGAACTACAGGCACGCACCACCCCACCTGGCTAATTTTGTAATTTTTTATAGAAATAGGGTCTCATTATATTGCTCAGGCTGGTCTCAAACTCCTGGGCTTAAGCAATCCTCCCAACTTGGCCTCCCAAAGTGCTGGGATCAGAGGTGTGAGCCACACTGCACCTGGACAAAAACTGATTTTTGGGGAAAGTATTTGAATGCATTTTGTTTTGTATTGTATTTACTCAATAAAGTATTTCAAGGCCAGGCATGGTGGTTCATGCCTGTAATCTCAGCAGTCTGGGAGACCGAGGAGGGTGGATCTCCTGAGGTCTGGATTTCTAGACCAGCCTGGCCAACATAGTGAAACCCTGTCTCTACTAAAAACACAAAAATTAGCTGGGCGTGGTGGTACACACCTGTAATCCCAGCTACTCGGGAGGCTAAGGTGGAGGTTGCAGTGAGCCGAGACTGTGCCACTGCACTCCAGCCTGGGCAACAGAGAGAGATTCTGTCTCAAAATAAGAATAAAAGTATTTCACTAGTAAAAAAAAAAATTAAATATAAGCATATTCCAAGACAGCAAGTGTCTTAAAAAATTTTTGAAGCAATGATTTCATTTTCTTTGTTTCTTCATCACAAAGGTAATAAAATTTTGTAATGTAGCATTGTAATTATCAAAACAGATTTTGGAAATACCCAGTTTTTGGTTCAAACCCCACTCATTTGCTATGGAAACTTATTTCGTTTGCTGTTTGCTTCCATCTTCAGACCCTTGCACATGCAGTTCAATCATCCTATAAAAACTATCTACCTTCATCTCTTCTTATCTAGGTCTTTGCTCATCACTCACGTCCAACAGACTGAGGAAGATTTTTAAAAAGTCTTTTTCCTCAAGCATGTAAGTTGCTCCATTACATGCTTGAAGTAAGCACTTGCATTCTTACTGACTGCGCAGCATCTGAACCTTCATTTGTGTTCGGGGACTCTTTACCAAATGAAGCAGGATGCATGCCCCACCACAGACACTGAAAATGCCAGATATTTGTTTTTCTACCCCCACAGCAGGGAGGAAACTGAGACACAACCTAGACTACACCAGTCAGTTGCATTCACAACAGACTTTGAATAAATAAGGAGACAGTGAAATTAAGAAGCAGGGATAACCCATTGCAGTGAGGGGGCAGAGGTGGTAACACCCTATTTCCAGAGGCAACAGTGTCAGGGATTTAGAACACAGCCTCGTGCCCAGTGTGGCTGGTGTGGATGCCAAAAACCATGGAGTGTATGCCAGAGAGGGCAGGAGTATTGTCAACACAGGACCATGACTTTTAAAGGCATTGTTCCTAACTTCCAAGCCATGTTTCTCCAGCCCTTCTGGAGTTTCATCAGCTACCAAATGCCATTGTAATAAATTTTCTTTCTGCATATGGTAAGCGCCAATTGGTTTTTCCTGTTTGCTACTAAGAACCCTGTGTACCTGCTGGATCAGAACCCCCCCTAGTCACCATACTTTTTTATAATGTAATTGCTTAATACTCTGTTGCCATACTAGACTCTATGGTAATGATCTGTTTTGTTTATCATTGAATCTTCAGTCACCCAAGAAGAAACTGGTTGGTTGGATGAATGAATGAAACTCTCTACGCTCTCATTTCCTCATCTATAAATTTGGAATAGTAGTTTTGTTTGTTTTTTGAGACAGAGTTTCCCTCTGTTGCCCAGGCTGGAGTGCAGTGGCACAATCTCAGCTCACTGCCACCTCCACTTCCTATGTTCAAGTGATTCTCCTGCCTCAGCCTCCTGAGTAGCTGGGATTACAGGCACGCGCCACCATGCCCAGCTAATTTTTTGTATATTTTTTAGTAGAGACAGGGTTTCACCATGTTGACCAGGATGGTCTCGATCTCCTGACCTCGTGATCCACCCGCCTCGGCCTCCCAAAGTGATATTTTCACTTTAAACTTAAACTGGGCCAGGCGCCATGGCTCATGCCTGTAATCCTAGCACTTTGGGAGGCTGAGGCTGGTGGATCACCTTAGATCAGGAGTTTGAAACCAGCCTTACCAACATAGTGAAACCGTGTCTCTACTAAAAACACACGATTAGCCAGGCATAGTGGCGCTTGCCTGTAATCCCAGCTACTCGGGAGGCTGAGGCAGGAGAATTGCTTGAACCTGGGAGGTGGAGGTTGAAGTGAGCCAAGGTTGCATCATTGCACTCCAGTCTGGGCAAAAAGAGCCAAAGTCCGTTTAAAAAAAAAAAAACTTAAACTGAAATATACATGCATTTATTGGTAGGTAGCACAGAAGGCAGGTGCAGGCATTACGAAGAATGTCCCGTGTAAGATTCAAGTATGGCAACCAGCATATGCATTCACGTTTGCTATGTGTGCTCAGGTGTGAGAGCCAGAGCATGAAAATTACTTCTACTCACAGGGAGTCTAGTACCTACATTATTTTGTTCTCTCAGCAACTCTATAAAGTAGAAATTGTTATGCTACAGATTATTAAAACAAGAGAAAAACAGACTCAGTAAAGATAATTGAATTATTTTGGGTGCTGCAGCCAACCACGAAGTTGCAATGACCAAATTGAAGCCAAATAAATTGCTCGCTTCTGGCCCATCTCATGTCCCCATCTAAGTTACATCATAAAATTACAATCCTGTGACATTTTTCATAATCTAGACAGGCCTTTCACTTCATTGGTCTAAGGCTTGCCAGTCCTCCTACCTCTCTAAGGGAGGCGTTCATAATAATATGCATAGGCTGTTAAAGCTTCCTTTTCAGATTACCCGTAAGTATCCTGACTTATCATGCCATAAATAAGCCTAGGAGACCCTACTTCATAAATAGTTATTGTCCATACATTAGGTAATAGGTGTGAATTTTCAGAAGTCTCTAAATTCAAAGCATTAATGAACCACAAATGGACTTTTAACATAATTTAATCCCGGTTATTATTCTTGACCTTTTCATTTATTTTCAGAAACCACTTCTCATTTAAGTGACACTTAGCTACTAAGAAGATTCACAGAGTGATTCAGAGTCGAGTATGATGTCCTCAACGTCGAATGTTCATAGAATATTTTTTCTCTTTCCACAGTCTTCAGGAGCAACGCAAACGTTTAGGGGATGTGGGATTCTTATATGCTAACATATCTTTGGCATTAACTCCCCCAATAATTGAATGCAAGGCACACTTCCCCGGCACCCTAAACCGCTAATTTAGGGACACCGGCGCAAAGCAGAATCGTTCAAGGTCACTAGGGCAGCAGGTGCGGGACCTGAACCGGTGCGGCCCGGCCGGTCTCCATCTCCGAAGTCGGCTCAGCTCTCCGCCCACTCTTGGGGCTCACCCTCGCCGGGTGCGACCTCGCTGGGAGACCCTGGTCCGCCCGCCCTCCCAGTGGCCGGGCTTGGAACCGCGCTTCTGGAAGGTTCCTGTGTGGCTGTCAGTGGGGCGGCTCGGGGAAGCCGGGGCGGAGCCGGCGGCGGCCGGAGCTTCGGGCTACGCCTCTCGGGGCCGCTCCGCCACGCCTGTTGGCGGAAGCCGCGCTCCGCCCGGCAGGAGACGCTGTAGTCGGGGGTCGGCAGCGGCGGCAGCGGCGGCAGCGGCGGCAGCGGCAACGCCGCGCCGGCTCTCGCTTGTTCACCCGCTCGCCCGCCGGCTCTCCTCCCGCCGTAGGACTGGTGCGCTGCGCTCCAGTGGCCATGCAGCGTCTGGCCATGGACCTGCGGATGTTGTCCCGGGAGCTCTCCCTCTACCTGGAGCACCAAGTCCGGGTGGGGTTCTTGGGCTCGGGGGTGGGCTTATCCCTGATCCTGGGCTTCAGCGTCGCTTATGCCTGCTACTACCTGAGCAGCATTGCCAAGGTGAGCCGGGGGTGGCGCAGGGCCGCGGGCTGCTGGGCCGGGAGCGAGGGCAGCGGGCGCGGCGCGAGGCTGCGCGGGCAAGGGAGGTCGGCAGCCCCGGGGACAGGCGGCGAGCTGCTCCCGAGCGACAGCCCCGAGCGCGCGCGGGAAAACCGGCAGCCTCCGCCGCCCGGGCGCCCACTCGCCCGCCAGCTGGTGGGGGGTCCTGGCCCGGGGGTCCTCAGAGCGCAGCCCGGACGCTGCTGACCTCCGCGCTGCGGCGGTGCCCGGTCACGGATCGCGAGGCCGGCAGCGCATTCGGGAACGCTGTGGCGCTTTTGAAAATGACTCCCGGCAATCCCAGCACTTTGGGGGGCCGAGGAGGGTGGATCACCTGAGGTCAGGAGTTCAAGACCAACCTGACCAACTTAGTGAAACCATACCTCTACTAAAAATACAAAAAATTAGCCGGGCGTGGTGGCGGGCGCCTGTTATCCCAGCTACTCCGGAGGCTGAGGCAGGAGAATCCCTTGAACCTGGGGGGCGGATGTTGCAGTGAGTCGAGGTTGCGCCATTGGACTTATCACTTAACGCGACTCTTGCTTTCCCTCGGGGGTTGGAGAAACCTCCGTTTCAGTCCTCTGTGACTGAATTCGTTGCGTCAGCCTTCCAGAAAGAGATGTAATCTGAGGGAACCCTCGCTCAAGGGACAAGTCTATGCCGGTGTTTGGTTTACGGTTGGCAGAAACTTTGCTCGTTCTGGACCCTTCTCTGATACTGCTTTCCCCTTCAGAAACCCCAGTTAGTGACCGGGGGTGAGAGTTTCAGCCGCTTCCTTCAAGACCACTGTCCCGTGGTGACAGAAACGTACTACCCGACGGTTTGGTGCTGGGAGAGTCGAGGACAGACCCTGTTGAGACCTTTCATCACTTCGAAGCCCCCGGTGCAGTACAGGAAGTAAGTGAATGTCCATTTTCAGTCATTTCTGCAAAATCACAGGTTTTTTTGTTTTTGTTTTTTGGCTTATTCCCAGTTCTTTGTTAATAGAATCTCTGCTTTAGGAAGTATATAGAACAGAAAGAGGGGATGAAAATGGAAGGTATGTCACCGGCCCCACCCCCAGGTGCAGGAAAATACTCAGGTATTTGCCTCCTAGCTCCCGCCCTAACCCCCCCACCCCCGCAAACACACACACCTGATGTAAATGGTTTATTTTTAGGATGAGAGAAGTGTTTGGGGATTTCTGTCTTCCAACTTGTCATACATCTGTCAGAAAGACTCAGATCCTTTGATTATCTTCGTCCATTCATTGATATGTAGCAGATACTGGGAGTGGGGGTGGGGTGAGAAGGATGCCACTTAATTTGGGTTTTGCCCAAGGTGTCACTCTGTCATCCAGGCTGGAGTGCTGTCGCACGATCATGGTTCACTGATGGAGTGGGCGTGCGATTGATTCGTGTAAAATGACTTCCTGTTGACAGACAAATGGGATCTTGATGATAATAGTTCTTGATATTTTAAAGATACGGTCCAGGGTTTATCAGGAACCAAGAGATTTAAATGGTGCCTGTTATTAATTTCCCTTAGTCATCTGTCCTTCTGGAGTTTATTTTGTTGCCTGAAACTTGCAGTTTGTTTGGGAAAATTCTCTAAGTTCATAAATACCATGTGAGAAATACTTTAAATTATTTCAGAAGCAATTCTTGAAGCATACTATACAAGGAGACTGCATTATTGAGTCCAAAGAGCTAGTGCAGAGGTCATAGATTAGATCAGCATTTTACTTATTCAGACTTCCCTGTTGCATTAGTTGAGTGACCTCAATCAAACTGTGGTTAAATAGCTGGGTGTTTTGGAGTAATGAGTAAGTATTCATTTATCTTAATCATTCGCAGTTCATTTTTAGATACGACTTTGTATGGAGGTTACTGGAAATACTTGATAGTACTAATCTTCAGAAAATCCTTCTAATGAAAGAAAATGATCTATAGATGGAGATATGAGTGTGTGTTCATGAATGCTGGAAAAAAGTTATTTTTAAATGACCAAATAATGTCATGTGTTTTTAGAATTAAAACAGAAAATTAAGACATGAGTTAAAACATGTAAATAGTAATGTCTTCTTGATTATTCTTTTCAGTGAACTTATTAAAACTGCAGATGGAGGACAGATTTCACTGGACTGGTTTGATAATGATAACAGTATGTGTTATATTGATGCCAGCACCAGACCTACTATCTTATTGTTGCCTGGCCTCACTGGAACAAGCAAGGAATCATATATCCTTCATATGATCCATCTTAGTGAAGAATTAGGATACAGGTACCAGTAAAATCTTTCTTATTTTTCACCTAATCCATTCTAAATGAAGTACAAATATATCTACATGTTTGTTTCAGAAATACTTAGTATTTCTTGCATGGAAAAGCAATCCCTTAAATTATTTTTTTTTTCTGCATTCTCTTTTTCCTCTTTTTTTTTTTTTTTTTTTAGGACAATGCATAACTGAATCACAAGAAATTACACTTAGCATAGTAGACACTCCATAGATTTAGGCTGAATTGATGAATGAAATTAGAATCAGCTGAGCATTGACTGAGCCCTGCTGCTCACCCCCAACAACTTCCCCACCCCCCATAATGGAGAGAGTGTTATGGAGGGAGAATAGCAATTACAAACCCCTGAGAGAGTACACAGTGGCTCTCATGTCACATTCTGTATTTGGGCCTGGATTCACTAATCTTGTCACCCTGGCTCAGCTCCAAAGTGCAAAAAATATTCAGAATCAGCTGTAGGTCATCCCTATTTATCAAAGGTGATCTGTGCCTCTTCTGGCCGCCTAAGTTTGCAGGTGCACTTGGCTAGTCTCCAGTTGATGATGCCACAGCTTTTCTGCATAACCATATTAAGCTCAGTCACCGGGTACAATTTAACTTTTTTGCAAGTGATTTAGCAACTTTAAGTTTCAAGTTCAGCTTTAGAATCTTAAAGTAGAGTCCTTGTAAAAGGCACTGCTTTTTTGTGCCTCAGCCTTTTTTTTTTAAGCTGATAGTAATTATTGTAATGGAACACTCTGTGAGTTGTATTTAAAGTAGAGTTGTATCTTCTGTTCAACTTGAAACCCTTGTTTTAAGGTAAGCTGATGGTAAGTTTACCTTAAAAAAATCATTTGGGGCTGGGCATGGTGACTCATGCCTGTAATTCCAGCACTTTGGAAGGCCAAGGCCGATGGATTGCTTGAGCCCAGGAGTTCAAGACCAGCCTGGGCAACATGGTGAGACCTAGTCTCTACAAAAATTAGCTGGGCATGGTGGCATGCACATATAATTCTAGCTTCTGACAAGGCTGAGGCAGGAAGATCAGTTGAGCCCAGGTGGTAGAGACTGCAGTGAACCATGATCATGCCACAGCACTCCAGCCTGGATGACGGAGTGACACCTTGGGGAAAAAAAAAAAAAAAATTTTTTGATATAAAGGGGAAAATTCCATAATAGCTAACTTAATTTTAACAAGTTAATTCTGATCTTTTAGAAATATAGCCTGTTTTGTCCATGAAGTAACATTCTCTCAGAAACTATGATATGATGTTCAAGAATTACGGTGTTCCAGAAATTTACTTAGCAGTAGCAGAAATTCATTCTTATTCTGTATTTAAGCACCATCCAGTTAGATGTGAGCCTTGGTTGCTTTTTTTTTTTGAGACCGAGTTTCGCTCTTGTTACCCAGGCTGGAGTGCAATGGCACAATCTCAGCTCACCGCAACCTCTGCCTCCTGGGCTCAGGCAATTCTCCTCCCTCAGCCTCCTGAGTAGCTAGGATTACAGGCACGCACCACCATGCCCAGCTAATGTTTTTGTATTTTTAGTAGAGACGGGGTTTCACCATGTTGACCTGGATGGTCTCAATCTCTTGACCTTGTGATTCCACCCGCCTCGGCCTCCCAAAGTGCTGGGATTACAGGCGTGAGCCACTGCGCCCGGCCCGGTTGCTTTTTTTTTTTTGAGACCAAGTCTAGCTCTGTTGCCTAGGCTGGAGTGCAGTGGCATGATCATGGTTTATTGCAGTCTCTTACTGGCGTGAACCGCTACACCCAACCTGGTTAGAAGAGTGAAACTTCTTAAAAAAAAAAAAAAAAAAAAAAGTACAAAAGCAGAAACTGCAAGGCCTCTTGTGGCCCAGGCTGAGAACTCCCACAATGCTACTAGTCAAAGCAAGTGACCTGGTCAGCCCAGAATCAAAACGTAGGGAAATAGACTCCACCTCTTGATAGGAAGAGCTTCAAAGTATTTTTGCAATCTACACAGAAAGCCAGGTAGTTTTAAAGACCACTAAGAATAAAAATAGATCTGCATGGAATATAGCAGATAGCAGGACTTGTGAAAAGCTGTGTAATATGAAGGAATGTGCATGGGCTTTGGAGTCAAGATGGTTTCAGATGTTGGAACTGCCACTTTCTAAGGGACCCGGGACAATTAATTTAACTTCCCTCGTTACAGTGTTCTCACCTACTTCACAGGGTTTAGTACGAATGTGTAAAGTAGGCTGGGTGTGGTGGCTCATGCCTGTAATCCCAGCACTTTGGGAGACTGAGGTGGGTGGATCACTTGAGGTTGGGAGTTCAAAACCAGCCTGGTCAACATGTCAAAACCCTGTTAACTGTGCGTGGTGGCATGCGCCTATAATCCCAGCTACTCAGGAAGCTAAGACACAAGAATCGCTTGAACTTTGAGGGTGGAGGTTGCAATGAGCTGAGATCGTACCGCTGCACTCCAGCCTGGGAGACAAAGTGAGACTTTGTCTCAAAAAAAAAAAAAAATTTGTAAAGTACTTGGTTGGGAGCCCTACACAAAGTGGGTCTTTAGAAGATGTTTATGTCGGCCAGGCATGGTGGCTCATGCCTGTAATCCCAGCACTTTGGGAGGCTGAAGCGGGTGGATCACATGAGGTTAGGAGTTTGAGACCAGCCTGGCCCAAATGGCGAAACCCTGTCTCTACTAAAAATACAACAAAAAGTTAGCTGGGTATGGTGGTGGGCACCTGTAATCCCAGCTACTTGGGGGACTGAGGCAGAAGAATCACTTGAACCCAGGAGGTGGAGGTTGCAGTGAGCTGAGATCACACCACAGTACTCCAGCCTGGGCAACTGAGTGAGACTCTGCCCAATTAAAAAAAAAACAGGGGAGTAAATAAAATGAGATGGGGAATGTTTGTCCTATCTACATGATGATAACCTGTCCATCATCACTGGTGGATTGCATTATGTACTCTCTTGGATAGTTCTTGCCTCCAAGAGGAGAAAGTTGCTGAGCCAGATAAATTCTTTCAAATTTTATTAATCAATTAAGTCTTCCACCTCCTGGAAGGTAAGTAAAATGAGAAAGGCCAGGAATGCCAGGTGCAGTGGCTTATTCCTATAATCCCAGCACTTTGGAAGGCTAAGGCAGGAGGATTGCTTGAGCCGGGGAGTTTGAGACCAGCTTGGACAAGATAGTGAGACCCCCATTTCTACAAAAAAAAAACAGTGAATAATAATTTAATAAGACCAGAAGTATGTTGAGAGAGAAGCCATCTTCATGGAAACCAGAGGGCTGGAGAAAAGGCAGTTATCGCTAATAATTTACAACTGTATGATTGATAAAGTAGTTAGAAACCTTACCATTCATTCCACAAAGTCTCCATTCAGTAATATAGCCTAATAGGTATTATTTTATGTATATGAATAATACCTTATTTTCTGAAATCCTTTTCCCATTCTCTGAATTGATTTCCAGTACTACAACAAAAACAAGGAGAAAAACAGTAGCTCTGACAAAATCTGAATCATCTATCTTTTACCTTGACTTTTTAAAATAGCCATATGACTTGGGAGGAAAAGAAAAGACTTTAAAAAATAAAACTGAGGGCCTTTATTTACTGTTATATTCTACCTCCAACTAGTATTAACAAGAGTGACCAATCCAGAATTATACAGTTGTAAGTTTATTGAAATTTAGGTCATCATAAGTATTTTGGTGCTGCAAAGTCCAATACACCTATTTTCAAGGAGCATACAGTCTATTTGAAGTGGCAAAGAGTATGCAGCAGAAAAGAAGTGTACATCGGAAAGGAGCAGGATTGGCTGTAAGTGACAAAAAACTCATTAGTGACTTATGATATGAGTTTATTTCTCTCTCATGTAAAAATATAACAAGGTAGATTATAGCTTGTATGGCACGTGTCAATGTCAGGAACCTAAGCTACTTCCAATAGTAGGTTGGTGCAAAAGTAATTGCAGTTTTTGTCATTTCTTTTTAATGGCAAAAACCAATTACTTTTCACCAACCTAATATGTTGCTTCATAACATGAATGCTTCAGCCATAGCCATCACATCTGCATTCCAACACCCAAGAAGGAGGAAAAAAAGCACAATAGGAAAAGTACCATCTTCCTTTAAAGATGCATTCCAGCAATTGTGCACACCACTTTGGCTTATAGCACATTTGCCTGCTCTTAGCTGCAAGGGAAGCTTGCAAATTAAATTTTGGCGGGGGCACAGTGGCTCACGCTTATAATCCCAGCACTTTGGGAGGCTGAGGCAGGCGGATAACAAGGTCAAGAGGTCAAGACCAACCTGGCCAACATGGTGAAACCCCATCTCTACTAAAAATGCAAAAACTAGCTGAGCTTGGTGGTACGAACCTGTAGTCCCAGCTACTCAGGAGAAGGAGGCAGGAGAATTGCTTGAACATGGGAAGCAGAGGTTGTAGTGAGCTGAGGTTACGACACTGCACTCTAGCCTGGTGATTGAGCAAGACTGCCTCAAAAAAATTTTTAAAAAGGGGCAACAGATCACTTGAGGGATTTTTGCAACATTGTAGACTTGTGTTTTAAGACATTTCTTACTGTCTTGCCTATTTACTACTTAGAGAAAGATCTAATGTTTTGGTATGGTTTGACAGAATCAGGATCTCTTATTCTTCATTGCAGAGCCCACCTGCTGGTAGCAAGGATGTCACTGTTCGTCATTTATATTCTTAAGAGAGACTCAATGTGGGAGATGATTTAAAAGTGGTTAAAATTTGCTTCTAAATGTGGTCCTGGCTGGGCTTGAAATTTTTAAATTTCAAATCTGCATTTAAATTTTAACACTTTGGCAGGGCAACAGAGTCTGTGATTAAAAAAAATTTTTTTTAACACTTAAAATTTTAAATCTACAAAATTCCAACACTTTGGGAGGCCAAGGCAGGCGGATCACATGAGGTCAGGAGTTTGAGACCAGCCTGACCATCATGGTGAAACCCCATCTCTACTAAAAATACAAAAATTAGCCGGGCATGGTGAT